GATGGTGGTGACGACTCCACAGCAATGTGAACGTACTTAATGCCACTGGACTGTATACTTCCTTAAAAATCACATTAGAAATGGTTCAGTGGTAAATTTTATGTTATATTTTAGCACATTGAAAACTGGAAAAAAAGTTTCCCCAAAGATTAATAAGATGTCAAACAGCAGAAAAATACGAAAAGCATAGTAATGGGAAATTTTGAAAAGAGAAATACAAACAGCCAATATACTTAATGAAAAATGATCAAACTCATCTACCATCAAGGAAATGCAAAATTAAAGCACTGATCATTTTTGCCCACCAAATTGGTAAAAAATAAAAATAAATTAAACCCATGAGTCATAAGGCAGTTGGGTTGGGAGAACACACAGTCCAGGCTCGCCTTGGCAGGTGGCAGGAGTGGGAATCTTATGGGTTCAACTTTGGAAGCAAAGTCCAGCTGTGTGTCCTACAAGCCCTGGGCTGCACACCGGCCTGAGGCCTGGGCAGTGAGGGTCTGTGCAGGAGCCTCCCCCCAGCAACCCCGCCCCCTCAAGCCAGGCCACTCACCCTTCAGCTCATCAGCAGCAAAAAAGGCAGCAAGGCAGTCTTCCAGGGTGACTACAGGCCCCCAAAACCAGCTGGGGGTACAGGACACCACAAACCTAGAGACAGAAAGGGGACACTGGGGTGCTGCCAGGGCCTGGGCAAGAATAAGACTTAGGGGAACTGTGGCTGAGGTCTGTCCAGGCCTGAGCCCCAAAAGGACGCTGAAGGACCAGAGAGGCAGCTTGGCATGGTGGGTAGCGGGCAGAGGCCTGGAGCCAGACACCTCCCTGTCCTCGGGCAAATGACATCACCTCTCCCAAGCCTCGCCTTCCTCATCTGTGAGGGGCATGGTATGCTGTCCCCTCCTCCTGATGGCCATACAGGTTCCTGGTGTCAGGCAAGTGGAGCAGGGATCATGGCAGGCAGCAGGGGCTGGGAATGCTGCCCGCTGCTCTTCTGCCAGGGCCAGGCTGTGCTCTGTCACCTTCCCTTCCACCTGCCACTTGGTCAGTCTCCCCACTGTCACCTGCCCTCCAGCTCCATGTGACCATCTGATCCAGGCTCTCCCAAAGTGGCCAAGGACCTCTCCTCCCAAATTAAGCAAGCTCCTGTGCATCCATCAGCCCCCAGCTCCCTTCTGGACTCCCCTGGTCCCTGCAAATGCTTGTGCTTTGTTGCGTGGTCTGTCTCTGCCCAAGAGAGCCAGGACAGGACCCCGCTTGTGTCCCTGGCTGCTGGGAAGGTAGGCAGGAATGTGGGCATACCGTCGGATGTACTCCACAATGAAGGCCAGCCAGCCCTGGGCGGCGTAACTGTCCCCACAGGCGCCAGGCTTGGCCGGCACGTTCTGGTAGATGGCCGAGTGGAGCTTGGCCAAATCCTCCTTGCCAGGAATGGGTAGTGACAAGTCCTGGAATGTCTCCACTGTGGTGGACACCTGTGGGGTTGAAGGTCAGCCTGGTGCCCATCTTCTGGCAGTATTTGCACCCCAAACCCCAGCTGGAAAGTCAGGGGCAGGGTGCCTGCTCCCCAGGCCCTGGACAGGGTAGCCCTGCAACCATGGCCCTCCCCTGGAGAAAGGCAGGGAGCACCAGGTGGAGAGCCCACCCCACCTCCTATTCCGGGGACACCCACCCGGTCACAGGTGAGACACTGCACGAGGCTGAGGATGGAGCCGTCGAAGATGTCCGAGATGACACTGCGGTAGCGCTGCTCCTTCCGCCTCCGGCTACCCGTGCTCAGCACCTGGGCTGGGGGCACAGCACAGGACTAGGCTCAGCCTCCACCTGCCTGGCTGGGGCAGGGCATAGGCACCTGGGCTTCCTCTGCCAGGACGTGGGGTGGAATCTTTGGGTCATATGACTGGGTATGCACTTCACCTCCTTGACCCTTGGCCTCATCCACTGTAAAATGGGGCTCGCCCACTCACGGCTCAGGGGTGCTATAAGGGCTCAGAGACACTGCATGAAGGGCACACAGCCTAGCCCCCGGCAACAAGTGCTGGAAATGGCAGCCACGGGCACGGTTCCGAGCTCGGCCCAAGCTGGTCTGCCCTCCCGCCGCCCCTCCGCACCTTTCTTGAGCACGTACGATGGCCCCATCCTCACGGGGCTGGCACGAGGAGGGCTACTGGACAGCTTGGCGTGGCCCTCGCGGTGGTGGACAGGGCTACAGGGGCGAGAGGAGCTGCGTAGGTGGGCATCATTGTCTGGCTCTGGGGGCAGAGAGGGGACTGTGCTGGGTCACAGCAGCCAAGGCAGCCAGGCTGCGAGTCCTCATGCCAGCTCTGGGGCCCAGGCCAGAAGAGGACCTGTCAGCATCTCCTCATGGGACTACGGCCTGAACCCAATGTGGACAGGTTGGCCAGTATGGGGCTCAGAACCCTTGACCTTGGTGTGATTAATACCACATTCTAACCAACTGAGCTAGCCTGAACCCAATGTGTATCTTCTGTCCTGTGCCCAACCCTGGCCCCAACGAACACACCAGGATGGTGTCATCCCTTAGGTTTCCAGCTGAGAGCTCAGGGCTCTGGGGCAGGACTCAGAATTGGGCTCCAGCCTTATTAGCTAAGTGAACCTGGACACATCACTCAGCCTCTCCAAGGCTGACCTCTCACCTGTATCCTGAGTCTAGTGGTGGAACCCACCCCTAGGGTGGGCTACTGCGTGCTGGCATTTGGTACCCAGTAGGTACTAGACAAATGAGGATGTGACTCCTCCCAGCTGTCCTGCACAGCTCCCAGCTGTCTGATACCTGGTGTCCGGCAGGGGCTGGGGGACCGTGGTGATGGTGGCTGAGACTCCGTGGGCTGGTTGTCGAGGGTGGCCATGGCGGTGTCCACATCAGCATCCTCGTCCACTTGCTCTGAGTTCGTGCGCTGCTGGCCCCAGGAGAACTTGCGGTCCTTCATCCGCTCCTTCTCGGAGATGGCGCGGCCTGCCTCGTCTGGAATCAGCAGCTCTGTCTCGGCCTGCGAGGTACCCCCACCGTGACTCTGCCCATCACCCTCACCCCGGTCACTATTTGAATCACAGGACAGGAACTCATCCTCTGATGGGCTCCGGTCGCCCTCCCGTTTCTCATCTGTGTCGCTTGAGTCCGAGTCCCGAGCCTCTGTCAGTGCTGCCACCGCTGCCACCACTGGCTCCTTGAGCTCTTCATGCAGCTGGTCCATGAGGCAGCGCAGGAACTCCTGGGTGTCCTGGAGCAGGGGACAGGAGAAACCAGCCTCAAGTGCCCACTGCTGCTGCCATCGAGGAAGCCAGCCTCTGCCTGGCAGGTCCCTGGTCCCTTGCAGCAGCTTCCCATGGCACTCTTGTCCTAATCCCCATTCTACCAAAGAGGACACTGAGGCTCAAAGAGGCTAAGGGACTCCTCCCAAGACACACAGCCATAAGGTGGCAGAGCCAGATGCACATCCAGGTCCATCCAACTCCCCAGCTCATGCTCAGAGTCACCTGCGACTCTGCATCAAGCTCGATGTGGGCAGGGAAAGAGGAGGTGGCATGTTCAGCCTCTCCAGGTACCTTGCTCTCTAAAGCAGAGGCCGGTGGGGGCAGGCAGGAGCCTGGGGAGGGATGAGGGGGCATGACTCTGACAGGGCTCAGCTGAGCTGTGTGCTCCCCACAGGCCAGGCCACCTCTGTGCCTGCCCCTTCCCTGGGCTATCCCTGCTCTCCCATCCTGCCACCAGCCCCCACATGCCCTCCCTTGTCCCCTCAGCTGTGGGTGCCCACACTTTCCCTTGCCACTATGACACTGTGACACAAGCACAGGCCCTGGAGGCAGGACCTCACCTTCCTGCAGGCCTGGGCATAACCTGGACCAAGCTGCCTTTTCAGGCAGACTGGGTCTCAAGTCACAGTAGTGACGGTTTTATTCTGACCACTCTAGGACCAGGTCACCAGGCTAGCAGGAAGCCAGGGCAGCAGGGTTCTGGCTAATTCATCCACTGGGCCCAGCTGAGCCACGCACTTGTGCAGGAGGTGCTCTGGAAGGCCAGAGGATAGTGACAGCAGTCAACTCCAATAGCTGGGGACACTTGGAGTAGTGCTGGGCCACCAGAGGAGGACCTGGATTCCAAGTCCAGCCCCGCCCCTGCCAGTTCCTGACCCAGGTGTCAGAAGCAGCACCCCTGGCCCAAGCCCTGACCCAGAGGGGGCAGGGGTCATGCAGCAGCCGGAGCCAGCTCCACACCACAAATAACAGGGAGGAGCCTGTCTCTCTCAGTCCTAGCAGAGGGAGGGGAGGGCTTAGGGCAGATTTCCTCAGGCAAAGTGTCAGACTCCAAGATCAGAGGAACTGACCACAGGCTTATGTCACATCAGGGCACACTGAAAGGTCCTTTCAAGAAACAGGTCTTCAATATGCCACCTACTTCTCCCTCTGGGTCTTCCTTTTAAGAGAAGTACTATGTGTTCCTCATCAAAATCTCAATCCATGCAGAAGCACGAAAGCATCCTTTGCCATTAAGAGAGGACCACAGCTGCCTCTGCGTTTCAGACTCAGAAACGGCCCCGGCATTATGTCCAAGAGTCAGAGAAAGGAATGCTTCTCCTGGAGTCCAGATGGATGCCATGCAGCAGCCGTGTGGCCTTACGTAATGGTGTCCTCGCCCAGAGCTGAGGGCAGCAGTACAATGAGAGACGGGCTCAGCTAGGCCCGAAAACCATCCCTGCCACTCTGTGCTATGTGACCTGAGTGAGGCATGGGACCTCTCTGAGCCTCACCTCCTTCCCTGTAACATGGGGATGATGACAGTGCCCAACGCATGAGAGTACTGTAAGGATTAAACAGGGCCATACTGCTGTGGCACGTCATGTAATAAATGGCTACTGTGAATTTGGATCACTGTGGATGTTGTCACTCCCCGAAAAAGAAGGGTGCTCAGGTGTCACTGGGCTTCTCAGGCAGAAGTCTGGTGTTCCTCCAAGCACGGGTGTGAGCAGAAGAGTGCCTAGCAGTCCTCGACCTGGGACAGGATGGCGGGCAGAGACAGGGACAGGGGGAGAGAGCTAGAGGCATCCCCTGAATGACTGCTGTTCTACATGCAAACCCCACACTTGGGAGCCCAGCTCCTCCACCAGCCAGTGGGGACACTCCTGCCACGCAGCAGTCTGGGACAGGACGGGACCACAGGAGCCTCAGCTGGGGGCAAAAAGAGGCACACGCAGGGCTGGCCCCGTGGCTGACTCAGGAGAGTGCAGCGCTGTTAGCACCGAGGCTGCGGGTTCGGATCCTATATAGGGATGGCTGGTGCACTCACTGGGTGAGCGTGGTGTGGACAACACCATGCCGAGGGTTGCAATCCCCTTACCGGTCAGAAAAAAAAAAAAAAAAAGAGGCACACGCAGCTGCACTTGCTTTGTCCTGGTCTTGCGATTTTATAACACAGAAAGATATGGTTGGTTTTGAGGGTATTCTGTATATTAAAGTTTTTAATAAAAACTTTTACTTTAATAAAGGTACAACTCTGCCTGTGGTTTGGGGAACAAGAAACCATGTGCTGCTCTGAGTGCAGAGCTGAGGGGCATGGATACTGCAGCGAGGCTGCCTGAGTCCAAATATCCCCTTCATCATTCACCTGCTATGTGACTTGAGCACGTGACATGGCCCCCTGAGCCTCAGTCTCCCCATCTATAAAGTGGGGTTAAAGCAAGTGTGTGAAGTTTTTTTCTCTTAAGTTAATTAATAAAATTTTCGTTCTTTCATTTTGAAAAAAAATAAATAAATAAGATGGGGTTAAACACCAGAAGGTTCCTGAGAGGCTCCCACGTCCTCCCACATGTGAAGGGCTTAGGCCATGACAGCCTGGGCCATGTGATCTCTCAGCAACACTCAGCTGCTGCTGCTGTTTTCCATTCTGGTTTTGGCTTCAAAGCCAGGCCTGGTAGGTAACCGCCCTGGGTGTCCCCTGGGCAGCTCAGATGGCCTACCTGCTGGGCATAGCCTCGGAACATTGGGTTGACCAACTTGATCCCGTGAGACAGGCTGGTGGGGACCACATAGCTTGGCCTGTAGGAAGACCACACCTGTTAGTGCAGGTGGCCTATCCTGAGCTGCTCAATCCTGAGAAGCAGGCAGGCAGCCAGGATGGCTGGACCAGACTCAGAGGCATCTCCCGAAATCTTGGGAGGTGCCACCAGGCCAGGAGCCCCAACAAGCTCACAAGTCACTACAGTCAAGAAGGAAAAAGTCAAGTCATGGCTGCCTTGGTCCAGGACGAGAGCGCTCACCAGGATGGCATCATTTCCCGCTTGTCCATGACAAGCCCACTTCACACATTATGAGTTTTCATTCTAAAACATTTACTGTGGTTTTTCTCATTTCAAATGCAACAAATGTCCATTATTGAGAAATCTAAAATTTCACAAAAGCACAACAAAGAAACACCACCACTAATGCAACCACCCAGAGATAACTTGAGTTAAGATTTCCAGATCTTTCTGTGAAAATACAGACACATATACAAAAGTACATGCAGGTATATATTTAAACAAACGTGGCTTGTTACACTATAGGAATTATATTATGTCACTGTTTTTTAATCAGCTTCTACACTTAATACATTTCTATGCACTCACTTTAAATTATTCCCAACCTTACCAGGAAAGAACTACTGTAAAAAAAATTAAATTAAAAATATTATTCCCAACTTTGACTTTTCCTGGAGAAAACAGACTGACCCCAAGCTTCCGGTCTTTCAATTCACATCACACTGAGCCAGAAGCCTCTGCCGGTCAGCAACAGCCACCCTCTTATGAGCGAACACACACACACCCACCACACACACACACACACACACACACACACCACACACAAACACACACACACACACAACACACACACACACACACGCAACAGCCACCCTCTTATGAGCAAACACACACATACACACAGAGTCATGGCTGAGACCCAGAACCGGTCACATCACGTCCCTCAGCATAGACATCTGCAAAGGATCAACACCAGGTTCAAATTCTAGCTCACCTTTCATGTGACCTTGAGTAAGACACTTAGAGCTCTTTGTACCTCAGTTTCCCCATTTGTAAAGCAGGCTTGCTGTAAGAATTTCATGGGAAAAGTAAAGGCACGTGCTCAGCTTGGGGCTGAATCCATGAAGTGCTCCATCAAGGGGGCTGACAGAAAAGCTACACACAAACCTGCCCGAGGTCAGGGACTCGGTCACTCACCGTTTCTTGTGCCAGACCTCAGAGACCAGCTTCTGGTAACTCTTGCACAGGGCTGGCTTCTTGTCTGTGCGCACCAGGCCTCCACACTCCAAGAAGAACTGGGTCAGTGGAGGGCTGGAGGGTGGGGAGAGGGGGCCAGAACAGAAGAGAAAAGAAGAGGAATGTGGCATTGTTTAGGAAGAGCTGGGTAGAAAAGCAAAAGCCCTGAGTGCTCCTGCGGATGCACAGTGGCCCCCAGGATCTAGAAATGCCTGCAGATGACTAGAAGGATCCCACCTATATGGGCTGCACTGTGTCCCCCCAAAATCCATATGTGGAAATCCTAACACCCAGTACTTTAGCATGTGACTATATTTGGAGACAGAGTCTTTAAAGAGGTAGTTAAGTTACAATGAGTCCATTAGGGTGGGCCCTAATCCAATCTGACTGGTGTCCTTATAAAAGGAGGAAATTTGGACACACCAGACACACGTGCACACAGAGGGAAGACCACGTGAGGACTCAAGGAGTGGGCAGCCATCTACAAGCCAAGGAAGAGGCCTCAGAAGGAACCAGCCCTGCCGACACCTTGATTTTAGACTCCCAGCTTCTAGAAGTGTGAGAAATAAATTTCTGTTGCTGAAGCCACCCAGTCTGTGGTACTTTGCTATGGCAGCCCTAAGAAACGAATGGACCTCCCTTTTCCCCTGGGGCAGATGTAAGCTTTCCACTGGAGGGCCGTGAGGCCAGGGGACAGCTGTGGCACACAGAAGAGGAAGCAGCTCCTGCTCCTCCCACTGGCCCACGGTGCAGAAACCTTCCGGGGCCTGAAGGTGTCTTCCCCACTTACTCTTCACTTGTGTTCTTAAAAGTTACCTTATTACATAAGAAATATACATTTATTGTCAAAAAATTATAAAATATAGATAAGCAAACAATAATAATTGACCTTCATCCTGCCACCTGAAGATAGCTACTTTGAACATTTTGAGACTTGTCCTTCCAGACTTTTCTATGCACACACACCCATTCCTTCCCTCCCTCCTTCCCTCAGGGATATACTGAATCCCTACTAGGTTGGAGACCCTGTGTCAGGCATGGGAAATGTCCCTGGCCTCATGGAGTTGACAGTGTATCCTCAATGGAAAACAACATTTCCCCCCAAAACGGGACCTCCTTTATAAGCTTTATATAGAGCTTTATAACCTCCTTTTTTGCCTACTTCTCAGACTCTGAACCCCTCCCTATTTCAAAAAACATTGCCTTGCATCATTTCTTCCTGCACTCGCTGTAAGGCTGGGCAACAATGAATTTCTACTCCCTTGCAAATAGGCCTTTAAATTGTTTCCAGTGAACAAGAGTGAGGAGGGGCTGGCCAGTCAGCATACTTGGGAGAGGAGTGTGGTGCTGATAACACCAACACCAAGGGGTTGGATCTCTGTACGAGCCAGCTGCCAAAAAAATGAATAAATAAAAACAAGAGACTGATGAACCTCCTTACACTTGTACACAACTTTCTCAACATCTCTGGTTATCTCCTTAGGATAAATCCCGACTGGGGGGATTGCTGGGTCAAAGGGCATGAGCGATTTTTAGGAATTTTCATGCGTATCCTGTATACATGTCTGCAGGCAACACATGCAACACGGGTTGGGGGCTGCTGCTGCTGTTTCCAGGGCTTTGCCAGGACAGCTCCCAGCCCCTACCCCTCAGGTACGTGACGACCTACCAGTTGGACAGGGCCTGCAGGGCGGCATTCATGTAGCAAGAATTCCCGACGTTCTTCATGCCTGTGAGGCCTGGGAAACAAACACATCAGGGGAGGGAGAGGTGAGTGCCCTGTGCTGGTGAGGAAACCTCGCAGGTCACACTTGGAGCTGAGATGTGGCCCTCAACCCCAGGACCCACCCAAAGAAGGACATGGAAATCTTCCAAGGAAATGAATGTGGTTCTTGCTCATGACAGCTACAGTGTTAAATAGATGGACTCCTTCGCCCCCATGCAGCCAGGCCCTCTGTCCCCACCATACAGACAAGAAGGTCACGCGGGGAGGGGCCAGCCTGCTCAAGGTCACACTGCTGAAAGAGGGGATGAGGATAGCCAAGTGTCTAGAACCTCAGCTGGGCGGGCTGGCTGGCCCTCTAAGGGAGGCCGGCTCGCAGCACAGGTCATCTGTCACCCTGCCCTTCCATGCCTGTGGCAGCTGGTGCAAGCAGAGACAAAGACCCCAGAGCTTCCCACCTCCAGCAGAGGCCACGCCTGGCCCAACAGCTTCCCTGTCCTGGGACCATTACCTCGAGGTTTCAGGTCATCGTCCTCTGACTCGGACTCTCCCTCGTCAGCCACGGCAATAGGGACAGCTTTCAGAGGGTGGCAGGGTGGCAGAGACTCCTGTGTTAAAGACCCAGAGTGAGGAAAGCCAGGAGGATGGGGAGGGAGGGAAGCCCATCCCCATAGCCCTGAGCCTGGACTGAGCCACCCACCTGAGCAGAGGACATCATGGAAAGACTGGGATTGGTAGCCTCGCCCTGGAAACTCCCCAACATATTTTTTATTTGCAATAATGAATGATAATGATTTATGTTAGGAGCTCCAGTGGCACAATTGGTTAGCGCATGTTACTTATATGATTTGTTACTTATGATAAATTTGGGAAAAAACAGACATGTAAATTAAAACACCACTGACAGAAACACTGTTAACAGTCTACATGGATATATGTGGACTTTAAACTGTTAATACACATATACACATAAAAGTGGGATATTGTGTGGGTTGTTTTATAGCCTGTTTTTTGTTTCACAACATCCACCATGTTCACACATGTACTGAGCACCTATCATGTGACTGCCTAAACGGGGATGAGAGCTGCACAGTACCCTGCTGCTCTGAGGGCCCTTCTCTGGTTGACACATCACCAGGTGGTTTCTGGGTATTTCCCACAGAGAAGCACACTGCAGTGACTACTGCAAATCCCTTAGGATATGTTTTAGATCTGGGATTGCCAGGGGCCATCTGCGACCCTGTTCTGCGCTCCCCGTGAGACCTGGAAGGGTCTACACAGCCCAGGGCCCATCCCATCCTTTGCACTTATAGCCGCCCCATGGCCCATGAGCTCCTCAAGGGAGGCCCTACTCTGAGTCACCTCTGCGTCCTCACCTCCTCACAGAGCCCTGGGCACACAGTTGGGCTCAGTGAGCATTTGCTGACATGAGCTCCTCAAAGTCACCTGAAAACACACTGACCCAAGAACTGACTATGTCTGGGACCCACTGACCCATGTTCCACCTATACTTGGGTCACACTGCCCCCATCCTCGACACAGTGTCACCAACCAAACTGATCCCACTGCGCCCGCTACCTGCTCCGAGAACTTGGGCGAGGAGCCTGGCAAGGGGGCCGCCTGCCGCTGCTCCAGGAATACTTCCTTTTCACAGGCATAACACCACACCCGGAACGTGGTCAGGTTCACTGTCAAGTTGTGGTTTTTGGCCTAGAGGGTAAAATCCAAAATAAGGTCAAGAATGCACTGGTCTAACAGGTGCCCCAAACCTGCACTGGAGCTGCCTCTGCTCTCCAACCTCAGGAAGAGGCCCCATCAGGACAGAGGCTGGAAGGTCAGTTTTTGCTCTTCCACCAGCCGGGAACACCTAGGGTTACCATATATCCAACAGGTGCATGTCAAAGTGTTTTACCTGCATCCTCTCACTTCTTTGCAGCAACACTGCTATGATTACCCCCATTATATAGCCCCAGCCTTTGAGGCCCGGAGCAAGCAGCTGGAGCCTGTGAGGCCCGGAGCAAGCAGCTGGAGCCTGTGAGGCCCGGAGCAAGCAGCTGGAGCTGCAGTGGAACCCCAGGCTGTCTGACTGTACAGCCCATGTTCTTGGCTGCCACACTCACCTGGGCATGAATGGTGCTATGGTCAGCAAAGGATTCTCCGCAGCCAACATAGGGGCAGGCGACCTGGGGATAGAGGGAAGCAGAGTGGACTGGGGCTGGCCAAGAGGACAGTGTCAATGCAACGATTCTCTGACTCCACCCAAAGTCAGTGTTCCCCATCTCTTCCCAACAGAACCCACAAGGGATTGAGGCTCTGCCATCCTAAAGGAACACAGGACTATACCCCTGAAGTTCACATTGCACAGGGATGGCCACCATAAATGCTGCCCCTGCCCTCCAAGGGAGAGGGACAGTGCGTCCTGGGCTACTGCTGTCCTGCTAGAAGCCCAGGAAGGGTTGTAGTGGGGCCTGGCTGCTTGGGGTCCAGACCCTCTCCCTCCACCAAAACCCAGCTTCTTTCCAGTTATCAGGAACCACATTTTTGGTGGGGGATCCTGGGGCTCGTAGCCATTTTCTAATGGCAGATGCTGAATGGACACCAGGTATACAAAACAAGGATGGTGAGACAGTTGGGGCCTAATGCTGATCCAGTGCCCCACAACGAGGCCCACATGTCCCTGCCTTTGGCCTTGCACTCTCCAACCCCAAATCTACCCATCCTCCAGGGTCCAGCTCAAGTACCTCTCCACTGCAGGCTGCTACCTCAGCCAGTGTGGATGGCACCTGCCTCTCCACGGGAACACCTGGTGTCATTTCCACCTGTGATCAGCACTGCATGGGCTGGTGAGGGCCTTCTGAGGACAAGACCTTTTGGCGGACTCATACTCTTGGGAGACCGTGGGCTCCTATGAGGTAGGACCACGAGTACCCAGACAATGTCTTGCAATCTACTTTACGCTGGGTGACAGGCCCAAACGGAAGAGGTCAGAATCCCATCGGGGGTTCCATATCTTCTGCAAAGACTGACTGGTTGTCTTCACTCGCTAGTGTTTTCTTTTTCGTTTCTACTTTTGTTTTTTTCAAGAAATTTTAAGTAAGTCACTTTTAGAACAATTATAAAATGCAATACATACTTACAGAAATCTTGAAAAATACTACAAAGCTAGCTACAGAGAAAAAAGCAAAAATTACCTATAATTCTACCACCCAAAGAAAACTGTAGTGTTTTGATACATCTACTTCTACTCTTTTTAATAAGCAATAATCATCAAAACCTGACCAGACGTTCCTGGATACTGTCTGCGGGCCAGACACCATGCTAAGTCAGTCACAGACATGCATGGTGTCAAATTCCACCCTACCCCCATGAGGTGGGGACCGTTATCAGTGCTATGGCCCCTACTCCACAGATGGGGGAACAGGGGCCCAGGGAAGAGACAAGACTGGCCCAGGGAGAGACTGATGCTAGAAGCAGGGCCAGGGCTCACAGCCAAGACGTCTGTCACCCCACATGTGCCAATGCGAATACAGAACTCAGTCTCTTAGGAAAACAGGATCATTGAGCCCAGAGCCTTCTCCTCCCTGCTCTGTTCTCTTGCCATTGTTGATGGACTCGCTGACTCTGATGCCCTGTGCCCCTGACCAAGGCTTCCCACAGCGCCCACTGGGGACAGACATTCCCAGCCCAGAGTCTAGACCAAGCTCACACCCACAATGGCTGCAGGGTCCTTTACCTGGAGACAGGCCCACAGGTTGGGTCCGCTGACACCACATGACTGACACGTTCCCTGAGGGAGTCAGAGAGAGAGAGAGAGAGCAAGTGAGAGCAGCCCTGGGGGGCTGGATGCCACACTCCTGGCTGGCGCTTACTCACTGCTGAGGGTCTACGGTGGCCCACCCATCTAAATTAGGTCCCCAGAGGTACTTTACACTTGACTTTGAATGTTTATCATGTGCCTGTAAAAACACTTTCAAATAAAATCTTTTAAAACTTCAACAAACAGACCCCATAATATACTCTCTCATCACCTCTTTTACTCTTCCTTTATTGTACTTATTTAAGCTTGTCTCCCCGCTTAGACTGTGGGCTCCATGAGGGGGTGTGGACCATTTTGTCCACCCCTGGGAATTCACAGGGCCTGGTACAAATTAGATGAATATATCTGTCGACCACAAAACACCCCTGGGTTTCCAGTGCTCTGGATGACAGAGCCTGCTCCTTGTCTACTAGCATCCTTTCTCCCCTTCTTGCTCTAATAATAGAATGCATGAATTTTAGCTGAGCACATAGCCAGCCAGCTACAAACTATGTTTCCCAGCTTCCGCTGTGATCGTATGGTTCAGTTCTAGTCAACGAGATGACAACTAAAGTGACACGTTCCATTTCTGAGCTGTGTGCTACCCTTGCTCTTTCTCTTCTTACCATCGGCAGGAATGCAGATGTGATGGCAGGAGCTGAGGCAACCACCTTGGACTCAGAGATGGAAGCCATGTGTTAAGAACAGCAGAGTGCCCTACCAGGCCTACCTACCTCTGGTCTGCTCTGTGAGAGAAAAACACACTTCTATCTCATTTAAGTCACTGTATTTCAGGGTCTCTTTGTCACAGCAACTGCCAACTGAGATCCTACAACTGATATGCTTCCATCAGTTGGAAGAAGAGTTGTAAGTAATAGTCTCTGACAGCAGCTGTATCACCAGGCTTAATCAGAGTGACAGCTGACACCTGGTGAGGGATTACAGGGAACCAAGTATGCAGCTAAGTCCTTTCCACATTGCTTATGTGATCCCCACCAGTCGGTGCAGCAGGCCCCCCAAGATCCCCTTTTCACAGATGAGAAACAGGGGCTCAGAGGTTCATACCCCTGACATAGAACATGATCAAAAGGTGAAGCCAAGGAGCTTGGGCCCCAAAGAAGGAAGGTCATCAAATCTGTCACCCAGAAAGGCTAGTTTCCCCCGAGGGTGGCCATGTCAGCTCCCAGGCCTCCACAGAAACCTCTCATTCTAAACTAAACCCAGGTTCTGGCTGTGTCTATAAAAAGGCTGAACACAGAACTCTCAATAGGCTTGAGGGGAAGCAGCTCATCCCGTACAACAGAGCTGAGACCCGCACTCTGTGATTTAGGGTCTGTCTCCCATCAAGGATGCTGTCGGGTGACAAGAGACCAGTCAGTCTGCACAGCAGACTCAAAAGCCACAGCCCATGACCTTTCTGAATTTACATTTTCTGATTTCACAATTCACTCCATCTTCCCAGATTTTTTTTTTTTCCTTTCAGTCATTTGAATTATAAAAGTATTGTATGCTTACTGTAACAATTCAAATGATATATGTACATACTGAA